ATAGAATACTTGAAACGGTATGGAAGATTTAAAAAAAATAATATAACCAATGTAAAATCAGAAACTGCAAGAAAAATATCCAAGATTCTATTCCAGAGGGTAAAAACGTAGAAATAATTTGATTTTTTAAAATTTAATTTTAAAACAGATTCCTTTTCTTCAAAGAGAATTAGAATGATAATTTTTAGTTAACTAGAAACTGATTCAGAGTATTCAAAAATCTATAAAAACATATTTTTAACAAATACATACAACAAAAAATTAAACAACCTCTAATGAATACAAGTTTGAGAAAACATTCAAATTAAATTTTAATTTATAAAACCGTCAATTATAAAATAGATACATTGGTTTTCATGAAACTAACCAAATTTTATCTTTGATATGTTTATTGAATGGCTTATAGAAATTTTAAAATTATATGGAAATTTTTCATATAAATTAATAATAATATAGCCAAGGCAACATCAAAAACTACGAGAAGACTAATATCCAAGTCTTTATACCGAGAAGTTGCTTTAGTTCCATAGAAATATAATTAGACAAATTTTAAAACATACATTAAAGCAGCCAAATTTTAATTTGGCATTTTACAATCAGTTACAATTAATAATTATCATAAAAATGTATTACATATAAACTTGATTTATTTCCGATTCTTTGCTAAAGTATTAAGATTAAAGATCATGGTTCTCTCCACGTCTTTTCAAATATTTTAAATTTTTAACAATTGTTATGTAAAATTTCGAGTAGCTGAAAAATCATGGTTTGGGCATATTTCCTTACTACCTTATCTAATATATAAACAAAATACCGTGAAAAAATTCCATTGGCCTAATAACCTCTGATAAATATTGTACATATATGGAATTAAAAAACATCACTGTAACAAGTGTATAAATAAATAATCCACTAGTAATCATTAGATAAGATTTTTTTAAATCCGTCACCGATAAGCTAATTAGTAAGAAAAATTTGCAAGTTAATTTGGTATAAAATTAAAATAATCTTAAAAACATTAGATGAAAACCAAGACAGTTTATAGTAAATTGTAGCTAGTAGTCGAAAATCCATAAAACTGAATATTGGTGATTTTATAACAAGAATCATAGTAATAAGCACAATCAATTTAGGAAAATTAAGGTTCATATTTGTACAAATTTCCTATATCAATGTTCCTATATTAACTATGAAAAATTAGGGCTCATGGACAATTATTTCATTATAATCAGTAAAAATTTATGTTCGAAATTAATCTATCTAAGGGTAAAATATTTTTAAGTTTATTTAATGCAAGTAACCTATATCTGTATTGTTATTTTTAATTTTCTTTCTCAATTTGTATTTATATTTGTATTGTAATTTATAATGCCTAAATGACTAACTGAGTCGAGGCCAGTTAATAAAATAAAAATATAAAAAACAGAATCTATCTATTCTATTTTAGAATCATTAAAAAATCATAAAAAATAAGTTAGATAAATAGCAAGATGTCGTTCTTATATTTTTTACTGATTATCTTACTTTTAAAATGAAGTTTTTTTTACTTTTATTCGTCATCGATATTGTTTTCATAGAGACTAACTTCATATGTCAATATTTATCTATTATCTATTTATCACCTAATCTATTGATGATAATAATCCATATATCATTATCACGATTTTTGGCAGGAAATTTTTTATGGTGTTTATAAAAATAATTAATTCATTTTCATGTTTTCTATTCCATGATCATGACTTGCCAGAAATAAGAAAGTGTCAAACGATTCAGAATGTTTTAAAATATAAAAAAATAAAACTTGCCCTTTAGGTTCTCTGATATGACCATATATATATGCTTGTTATTGTAAAGTTTTATATAATTATTATATTTCAAGAAATTCCTTGACTTGCAAAAGTATGGTTTTAAATAAAATGCTAACATTTATGTTATTTAAATCGTTCACATATTTTTTTTTACTATCCTATTTAATTCAGAACATTTCTAAAGAATGTATTTTATATTGAGACATTTAAAATTTTTATTTTTTAAATTCTGCAAAATACAAGTATCATAAATATTTACAGAATTGTATAAAAAAAACATAAAAAAATCTTTAGAATGCAAACTAAAAAAATATGAAAATATGCAAAAATTCAATTCAATTTGGGAGCCTATTAATTAAATTCCTGTTTCAATTCCTGCCTCAAACAACCTGATATCAAGATGTAGTAATATAAATTTTCATATGAAAATCTAGGTCTAAATAATATCTCAATAATCAGAAAATAGCTTTACGAGATATTGCTGCATTTGGTTGCCAGAATTAGCAACAAATTTTGGAGTAATTGTTACAAAAATCTTTAAAATTCGAACTAAAAAAGATTGAAAGCTGCAAAAATTAAATTCAATTTGGGAGCTTATTTATGACTGAAGTAGTGAGAGCTTTAGCATTGAAACCACAAGGTTCCTGGTTCAATTCCTGCTTCAAACAATTTGATATCAAAGTGTGGTGATATAAATTTTCATATAAATTCTGAATAATATATCAAAGAAATAATAGTCAGAAAATAGTCTTACAGAAATTGCTGCATTTGGTTGCCAGAATTGTAAAAAAGAAACAAATTTTTAAATGACTGTTACAAAAATCTTCAAAATGGGAACTAGAAACAAATTGAAAATATGCAAAAATTCAATTCAATTTGATAGCTTATTTATGGCTGAAGTAATAAGAGCTTTGACTTCAGAACCACAAGGTTCCTGGTTCAATTTCCTTCTCAAACAATCTGATATTAAGTTCTATAGTAATGTAAGTTTTTATATGAAAATCTTAATCTGAATAATATATGAAAGAAATAATAGTCAAAAAATAGTCTTGCAAGAAATTGCTGCATTTGGTTGCCATTTATAATCATCTTTAATAATCTTTTAGGTTGTAAAGAATTATATCACAACAGCTTGTTGAATACATAAAAAATAATATAGAATTGAAAATTATAATAATTATAATCATAATAGAAATATAGAACAGTTCTGATTATTTTTCACGAAAAATAATTTTCTACTGTATGTATTATATAAATATCTATAACATTGTATCTTACGTAGGTATGTTTTTAAAAATCTGTTATCTTCAGATTTTTTGGATTTCACTGTAAACTTTATCAAAATATTTTACTTAATAGCAAACGATTGTCAATTATCTACGTCGATAGTATTGGTTTTGATAAAGATGACAAAAATAACATTCATTGTGATAAGATGCAATCGCGACTTAATTGTCACCGCCGATAATGATAAGCGACAAAGGTAAAATATAAAAGTATGGGGAATTCGACAGCATTTAAGTCAATGACTGTTTAAAAATCTTTATAATAATCTGTCAATGACTGTTTAAAAATCTTTGTAACTATTGCTTGGGTGGAGTGACTAGGGCGGATGCAGAGCACGCCATTATGGAGTGCAAAAAATGGGAAAAGGGTAGGCAAGAATTATGGAGGGAGATAGTAAGGCAAAAAATCTCCCTCCCAGCTAATTTTATAACATTGGTGATAAAAAAAAGAATATATGGGGCGCTATATTATTATATACAATCTACTACAGTTAAATTGTAAAGTTAACTTATAAAATGTACTAATGTACTTGCATACCAAGTCAAAAAGTAAACAATATATATATATATATATATATATATATATATATATATACATATATATTTTCAAATAAAAATGTATATTCTACACATTGATATCAGGTTAGAAATTAAACCATAAACCTTGTGGTTCCAAAGCCAAAGCTCTCATTACTTCAGCTATAAATAAGCTCCCAAATTGAATTGAATTTTTGCAACTTTCAATTTCTTTTTAAATTGCATTTTAAAGATATTCATAACGGTCATATGGATGATATATGGATATATCAATGACTTTTTAAATAAAAAAAATCTAACTATGATATATGTTTATCCTTAAACGGACCGCTATTCAAAAAATAATGTTAATAAAGTTGTTCCTAATCACCTTTTAAAAGAATGTAGAATTAGTAAATAATTGCTTTAATTTAAATAAAATGTTGAGAACAAAATTTTTGTCAAATAAGGATCTGACTAAGTTTTTCAACAAAGAAGCTAATATTGTAATCATTAGATATAACTAATTCACAATGTGAATTAGTGTTATTCATTAAACTCAATTATTGTTTTCATAAAACTAGTTTGTTACCGAAAACTGTTTGCAATATAAATCCAAACCTTAATTTAATAAATTTAATATCTCTTACCATCTTCAATTTTTCTAGGGACATAAAATGTTCCACAGATTGTGGACAACCGTAAATTTCTATAAATTTTCGAGAACAAACACTTAAAAACATATTTATTATTCTATTCGGATTCAGTATCCTGTAAACGTCGAATCCAACATCATTTCTACATTTTAAAAGGTCTATTAAAAGAGTATAATTTATAGAGTAATAACTAGTTTTTATGAGTATCGTTAGGAAGTTTATAGTATTTGTATCAAAGTGCTTATTTTTACAATGTTAAGGTGGAGTATTATCTTGAAATTTATTTTTATTGGATCGGAAACGATAATAAAATAAACTTTAAAAAATCTTTTTTCACAAATGAGTAAAGATAGTATGTTCTAATATATTACATATATGGCGAAAGACAATATACCAGAATGCTAATTAGTATTTAACACGAATTTGTGATTGTGCTGAATAAAGCAAGTGGTTGTAAAATTTCGAACCAAGTTTTGGATGCAATATTAAGTAATTATATTTTTACGAAGTTTCACAAGAGACTTGATTAAAATAGTGTGATGCTTTTGGATAAAGCTAGACAAATATTTACTTTATAAACTTCTAGTTTTAGCATATCCTGCAGCCGTACTATACATTGCGGTACAGAGTTTGTTTTTGGTTCTGAGAATAGCAGGTGTAAAGTTCGTTTTATCAAGATCTTATATATGACAAAAATATGAAAAAAAACATGAAATAATATAAGAGTCACTAAC